CTGAAACAGGATTTCTCAGGTTGGGCACTATTGACATTTTGGAATACATAATTCTCTGTTGCGAATTATAATTCTCATAATTCTCGTCCTGTCCTGTGTTGTACAACATTTAGCAGCATCCTTGATCTCTATTTACTAGATGCCAGTAGCACCCTCCCACCCTCATTGTGATGACAAAAAATGTCTCCAGACACTGCAAAATGTCCCCTGGGGGGCAAAATTACTGATCTAAAATAGTCCTCATGCCCAATGTGGTGTGGCCCTATTTTAAGGAGGTCTTTTGATTCTCCAGAATCTTTCCAACTGTACTACCTTAGTGTGATAGTAAATTGGGTAGCATTTTCCCCCATTTTTTAAGAAATATATTTGACTGTGCTTTCTTTCCCCCTTTAACACTAGACCTACATTAAATTGTAGACTCCTTAAGGGTAACAACTGTGCTTTCTCTTGCTTTAAATTTCTTCACAGCAGTGAGATGGTGTTTGGTCTGATGCAAGCACTTAATATATGCTGACTAACCTCACAGAAAATTCATCTAGAAGAAATTTATGTCTGCTTTCAACTAGCAGAATGTAAATGCCATGAGGGCATTTCCCCCCCTGTTTTGTTCACTGTTGTATTTCTAGCATCTAGAAAAGTACCTGACACATAGTATTTACTGAGCACCTTTCTAAAAAAATGTTTACTGGGATCCCTGCCCCATTTCCTAAAGAATAACAGAGTCCTTAAACTGGGGCTCAGGACTGTCTTTATTCTGCATATTCCAATCTTCATCCCTGCTTCTCTGGTACACAAGTCCCCCCTCTTTAACTCAAGCTTACATACTAATGTTTTCTCAAATGCCCATGAACATCTTTGCCAATGCACAACTGCTCACTTTGTTTTCTCTGTTTAGAATGGCCTTTCAAGCTCTCCACTGAGTCAAATAAATATAATACACATTTCAAAGATCAGCTTATTTCATTCTCTCAGGTAACATTTTCTGACCTCATAAACTCATAGGGACCTTTCCTAACTCAATGCCTAGTACTTACTGGTCTGTACCTCTCCCTGGGCATTTTAATTCTATAAAGCATGCCACCTTTCACTTTACTATTTTGAATTATTATTTTCATATGTAGGTCATCTCTTCCAAGTAGACTGCAACCTTTTTGAAGGCAGAACCAAATTATTATCTTTTTTTTCTTTTTTTTTTTTTAACACCATAGGGTTTATTATGTGACATCTACAAAGTGAAAAAAACATTATTTTCATTTTTAAAAAATTTATTCAGTTATCCAACTGATATTTTTTGACTGCCCACTTTGTGCTAAGTGACAAAACAAATATGGTCCTCGTCCTCATGAAGTGTTTAGACCAGCTGGAGAAAAAATGGTGTCTAATGTGGTGAGAACTGGACATAGAGTCAGAAGACTTTGGTGTGGATACTAACTCTGTCACTTACTGGGTGTGAAATCACTTCATATCTCAGTGTCCCCATGTGGAGAATGGAAACAATGATGTTTGTTCTATCTACCACTCATGATAATGAAGATCAAACCACATTGCATTTTATGTGTAAACATTTCTAAGTGACAAGGTATGGTGGCTTTTAATTTTCTTGATGCATTTCCCTTAAAGAGGAGGAGCCTAGTTTTCCTTGTCATGAGAATAAGCTGGACCTAGTGACTTGTTTCCAATGAATAAAATAAAGCAGAAGTGATGGTGTGTAATTGGAAATTTAATCATAAAAAGGCACCATGACTTTTGTCTTAGTCATTTCATTTCTTGAACTATTTGGTCTAGGGGAAGCCAGCTGTCATATTGTAAGCAGTCCTATGGAGAGCCCTTGTGTGAGGAACTGCACCTCCTGCAGCATGCTTGAGCTTAGAAACAGATCCTTCAGTCAAGCCTTCGGATGATTGACGCCCAGCAACAGCTTGACTACACCTCTTGAAAAAACATGAGTTAGTACCATTGCAGCATGCTTGAGCTTAGAAACAGATCCTTCAGTTCTAGTCAAGCCTTCAGATGATTGACGCCCAGCAACAGCTTGACTACACCTCTTGAAAAAACATGAGTTAGTACCATTCAGCTAAGCTGCTCCAGGACTTCTGACCCCCAGAAACCGTATGAGACAATATGCTTGTATATTTTATAAGTTGCTAAGTTTGGGGGCAAGTTTTTATGCAGCAGTGATAACTAACACACAGGGTACTATAGAGATTTAAGGTATTAATATTAAATGTGATAATTTGCTGAATGATGAATGCCATAATCTACTATGGTTTATTGCTAAATGATGAGTTAAAAGTGGAAGAAAAAGAAACTTCAAAAAGAAAAAAAAAAAAAAGAAATTACAAAACATTAAGAACAAGAAAAAAACCAGATGGATGTAAAACTTTTGATGGATCATTTTTCAGGCATTCCTCACTCTGCCACCTGCTTTATTTTCTGAGAGGTATCAACCTGTGACAGTGACTGCAGGCTAAGTGACAAAGGCTACCAGCTAAAGGAATTGTTCATTCCTACTGACTACTTTGGTTTTATTCCATTTTTCAGTTCTCATTTTGAGCTAAAATTGATAGTTTTAATTAAATAAGAAAGGAAAGCCAGACTTCTGCTCTACATTGAGTATAAGTCTTTTTGTATTAGAGAAAGTCACCATGGTTCTTTGCTAAGCACAAAGGCCACATGGACATGGGGATTTATGACTTGTTTGCATCAATGCCAAATTCTGAGAGTCCCTGCCCTTCCTTTGGCATAGTGACACTGACCCAGCTGACCTCCATTACTAATGATGCCCCAGATGGGAGGGCTGAATTCATAGTTTTCAACAGTCAACTTTGTCAAAATTAATTTGATCCAGAACAAATTTAAATTTAAATGTTCTAATTACCTTTGGCCCATAGGCTCTCCATTTGCAACGAATTTTTTTTAAAGCTCTCACTAATAGCATGGTTGTAGAGGAGGACTGTCAATTTATTAACCTATTTAGAAATAAATACAAAAGGTAACTTCCTCACTGATTATTTATTGGCCCTAGTTTTCCCAGGGCTTCAAGTGAAGGACTTTGGAAGCTGTGGTAACTCTTTGAAGCCATGCAAATAGTACCTAATATGTTTCTCTAAATATCATAGCTAAGAAAAGGGCATGACTCATGAAAGTTTGCTGAAATTATTATTATTATTTTTTTATCAGTCTGTTTGGTTGAAGGAATAATAGCTCATGAAAAGAAAAACAGTGTGAAAGCGTTCTTACTTGCAGGAGATATGCTGTTGGCTGGGGAAGGTTGGGCGCCGGTGCCAGATTCTGTAACACTGAGTGGAGGATCTGTTGGGGGATTCACAGAACCTGAAAGGATCAGACAGACATTTATAATAAACAAAATGTTATAATAGAAACATAAAGTATTGACTTAGTTTCTAAAAATACTTTCCTTTATTTATTCATCATCTAACAAATCGGTATTGGGGGCTGGTTATCTGCAAGGCAATGGGATATAATGGTGAATGAGAAAGACATAAGGCTGTTCTCAAAGAAAATACAGCCTAGAAAATAGGCAATCACTGCAGTGATTGTGGAAGTCCAGTGTCCCATGAGATGCAATGAAGGGATACCAATCAAGATCAGGAGGTCTGGCACATAGACCGATAAAACAGAATAGAGAGCCCAAGAATAAATTTATGCATCTACAGCCAACTGATCCTTGATAAAGGTGCCAAGAATACATATTGGGGGAAAGACTGACTCTTCAATAAATGGTGCTGGGAAAACTGGATATCCACATGCAGAAGAATAAGACTAGACCCCTACTTCTCACCATAAACAAAAATTAATTCAAAATGTATTAAAGATTTAAATGTAAAACCCGAAACTGTGAAACTACTAGAAGAAAACATAGGGGAGGGAAACTATTCATGACATGGGGCTGGCAAGGATTTTTAAAATAACTTCAAACATATAAGCAATTAAAGCAAAAATAGACAAGTGGGATTATATCAAACTAAAATGCTTTTGCACATCAAAGGAAACTATTAACAGAGTGAAGAGTCAACCTACAGAATGAGAGGAAATATTGCAAATCTCAATATTCAGAGGCCTTCTCATCCTACTCTTGAGACAGCCCTTTTTACTCCTCTTTCCGTACCCCAAAATACATACACACAGTCACACACATACTCACTCATACAACCTGTCAGCACTTAACTTTCTTTCTTTCTGTCCCAAAGGTCTTCGTCTCAACAGTTATAGTTAGACATCCATTTAACAAACAAATTTCTATCCAGACTGATGACAGCCAGATGTATTACCCACCCCAGTGGGTATTTTGCATTCAACTTTTGGATTAGAACAAAACAAAATGAAACGTTTTTCCTCCACTTAAAAGAAAAAACAAACAAACAAAAAACCCCACAAACCCCAACACGTTGAATATGCCAAAAAATAGAGTCTGCAGCATTACAGTTTTAGGCATTCTGATAGGCTAACAAAGCAGGATGGTTTGGAAAGTGTTTTTCTCCTCCCTTTCCCCTTCCCCTCCCCCTCCTCCTCCTCCTCATTCTGTAGATACTGTTGAATCTTGGGAATTCTGCAGGCTCTGATTCTCTAATAGCTGCCTGAAGATCCACTGACCACCCTGACCCTGACCCTTTCCCCTTTCTTTTTTTTTTATGTAATTTTATTAATATTATTTTTTACATTCTAGGATGTTGTGCAGAGCAGTTGGAAGGGAGGGGGAGAAAGGAAAGGGGAAGGGAATGGGATGGAAGGAGGAGGGGTGGAATTGAGGCCTGTGGCACCCCCCTCATTCCCACAGGGGAGACTGGGGGGCTTCCAGCGGTGGCTTGGTCATTGCCAGGCTGGGTGTAGATGTCAGGGGGGTGTGGCAAAAGCCCTCGCCCCCCACAGCTCAGGAACCTAGGGCCCTTCTTGCTGCTGCTTGGTGGTCATCACTGGGCTGGCTGTGGGTGTTGGGGGTGTGTGGTTGACAACCTTGGGCCCCCCACTGCTCCAGCTCAGGAGAGCCCGGGGTGCTTCCTGAGGCAGCTAAGTGGTCGCTGCTGGGCTGGCTGCGTGTGTTTGGGAGGCATGGCCTAGGCCCTCGTCCCCCACCCTCAGGACTGGTTGCAGGTGTTGGGGGACATGGCTTAGGCCTCTGGCCCTCCTTCCTTTCTGGCTTGGTAGCCCAGGGGACTTCCAGTCCTTCTAGGTGTTATAGGTGTTCTTTGGTGAAATGAGACCTTTACTAGTTAATATGAAACTTTGTCTCTGATTACAGGTAGTTTGTTTTTTCTTTCATTTCTGTGTTGGATTATTTGCCATCCCCACCACTTAAACTCTGGGCTGGAACTAATTTGTTGTCCTTTGCTATTACAGGTAGTTTGTTTTTTCTTTCATTTCTGTGTGGATTATTTGCCATCCCCACCACTTAAACTCTGGGCTGGAACTAATTTGTTGTCCTTTGCTTACTTCTAAAATGAGGGGAACTTCCTGTGCAGACCAGTACTTGAGCTGTGTGGTTGAGCTAAATTGCTGCTTTGCTGCTGATTCCCTGGCAAAGGCTTTTAGTGCAGCTCAAGTTTTAATGGTTGACTTTATAGGTACTTCCAGTTCTTGAGAGATCCAGTGCACCTGGGTTGTGTAGAAACTCTGCTCTAGGCCTGAGTCTTTTCATCAAACTAGACCCCATGCAATTCTACATTCCTGACCAGTCTCCTCTGAGTGGTCCTTTGCTGATTGGGGTGAAGATTCTACCATCTTGACTGGAAGCTCCTTTTGCTTGCTGTGCTCCAGTGTTCTCCTGGTGGGCCCATCTCCCCCACCATCTGTGCTGCAAATACTTCCCATGGGATGGTCTGTGTGCTGGTCCCTTGTGATGACTCACCAGCCTCTGAGTGGCTATTTTTTTCAGTTGTTTTGGCTCCTCACTCTTGTGTGGGTCCACAGGAACCCCATTAGTGGTCTAGCTGGCCTGGGGGCCACCAAGGCCCTCTTCACCCCTGCAGCCTCCAACCAACTTCATCCAAAGGGCAAAAGCTGCAGCTTTTGCTGGCTCCTGCTCCATGTGCTCAGCAGCTCCAGCCTGGATGCAGCCAGGACTAGAAACAGAGTGGTTTTTTCTTTCTCTCATCATGACTTCTCCCACCTTCATGCACTCCGTAGGTCTCTCCTTTTCTTCACCTGAGCTCTAGTAGCTCCAGCTTGGCTGTCGTTGCTTTTTTATAGTTGTATGGTTGATTTGTGGGAGAGAGTGATGCTGGGGACTGACTATTCCACCATCTTGACCAGAAGCTCCCTTTCCTCTTTCTGAGTTCTGAGTGACTGAGTACTTGAATTTGCTGGGCAACTGTGTACACGTGGGGAAGGGAGCACCTCAGAGAGCTGTGACCTGTTAGGCTCCAACATTATTGATCTTCTCTGGGAACAAAAGTGAGCAAAACTCACTAAATCTCTGCCCAGCTCTGTAATATCCTCAGCGTTTCTCTGCTCTAGCACTCAGAGATGACAGATTTTTCTTCTGTGTTTTCATTTCAGTATCTTGTCAACAACAATAGCTTGATAAGGCAATGACTCTTACACCAGGCATCAGAAATTTACTCCAGAGTTCATAAAACATCCAGCAGTACTACCACAGCCAGAGAGCAAATGTGGAAGTAAGTGTTTAAGAAATTGTAACAAACAGGCAAATATGATACAGTGATAGCATTGCTTTACAGAACATCTAAATCATTCACAAAGATCTATGTCAGAATGGGACTAGAATGTAAGGGATAATTTTGGGAAACTGAACTCTTCAAGATTAATTGTCTTTAATATTTGATCATAAAGGATAAAGTCTCATTTGGCAATTTAAAATTAACCACCTGCTCAGAGCCTAAATTTATGCTAAATCAGGGGCTACCCTGTGAAGCTGAAATTGTCATGTGTTTTGGGTATTAGAATCAGTGCTCTTCCTTATTACCCTAAAAGTACCATTATTTTCTGATCTTGAAAACAAGCAGTTTTAACATCAGAATGTACTGTTTTTTTCAGACATAGTTCTGCCTCTGTTGGGAATAGGATTCTGTTTAGGAATTTAAGGGTTTGGGGTCTTTTATTTAGCTCACGTCCTTAGATTCTGCCAAAGCTACTGGCAAATCTACGTGAAAATTATTTCCTTCACATTGCTCCCAGACTGCCCTACCCATGTCCAGCCTTCTAGGAAGGAGGTGTCCTTATTCCTGAGGGAATTAGGTGAAGTTGAGTGAGGTAGTTTTAGTGTAGCTCCATCATGATTTCTGAATGATTAATTTGGAGTTCACAGGACAATGTGCTCATACGTGTACACACAGGCTGTACTACAGGGATGGTGCCACTGTTCCAGCATTAGAGTGGTACCTACTTCTGAGCAGTAGGGACGGATTTGTGTTCAGACACACACTCTTTTTCATCCAAGGCGCTCAGTAACCAACCACTGCATTTGTGAAGGAGCTGGGCAGGACCCAAGACTGTGTCCTTGGAACAAAGGAAAACTCTTTCACTCATAAGTTATTCATGTTTTTATGAGTATGTTACAGACTACAGTATCTCTGAAAATAGGATGGTGGTTAAAGAGATTAATGGTCCTATAGAATTCTAATAATGATTTGCAAATCTGTTTGTTTTATAGGAGTACTTTACTGTAAATATGCATATTTGATAGTTGTCATTACAAACTTCTATTTTTTTATAGGACTATCTGTTGTCACTATATTTGTTGAAACATTTGTTCTTAACTTTCATGTAGTAAAATCTCC